TTATCTTTTTTCTGTTTCTTCGAAAATTCATTTGCTACGGTTATCTAAAATAAATCAAAGAAACTCGTTAGCAGCAGGAGTGGATGGGTCTGGTCTAACCAGGCCGGCAATTTGGGAAAAGGTGCTGGCAGCTTTTCTCGAACTATCCCTCGTTTCCCACGGAGCAAGACTTCCACAGTAACTTCAAAACAGTGCAAAGGTTCAGCAACCGTTATGAAACTCAATACTGTGAGGAAAGCATCCCTCCTCAAGACAACAGGGAGGCCCATGTAAAAGTTTAATCTCGGTAAAAAGTTGTCAGCTTGCATTAAGGTGCAGGCTTCTTTTTTGAGTTGTCAGTCGTTCTCCAAGGCAAAATAGTGCCCTGATTATAAAGTCGTAAATTTGTCGGCGCCCTTGTGAAGTTCGGCGTAATGAACAAAGCAATCCTTCTTTGACTTCTAAATTAATAAAGCAATCCTTCTTAAAGCTGCCGGGACACACGCGTGGAGGTGCTAATCTTTGCGAACCATTGCCTTCTTCAGTAGGCAATGGTAGTATATGCATCTGTAAAATATAATTTATGCAATTATCCGGTTGGTGGGACATAACATCCTTATTTTTTAACATTGAAGTAAAGAATTGGATCCCGCAATTATAAATCTGAATCTAACTAACGACGACAGGCTAAGACGCTGAGTTTAAAAAGATTACCATCTTTCCATTTTTTAGAGTGTAATTAAATCTCTTTTTTTAGTATGAGTTTATCGTGTTTGCTGCATGAATTATACAATTATGATTGACGTTTCATCTTTTTTAAACCATCGATATCAGATAACAAAGCAGCGTCACAGGCAACGGTTGCTCTGGAAAATTTCCCGAATTCCTAATATATCCATCTGCCTCTTCTCTCTAGTATTCAAAAACAACTAATATCACTTTCTTTGTTATTTTTTAACACCAATGAATTTAAATAATATATTCCAAGCATAAGAATAACATATGCTCAGACTATTTGTATTACGACAAAATAATTATGAATATTTATTTAATTGGCATAAGCGTAATACTCTTTACCCGTTACTGATACAATATATGGCTAGGAAACGTATTTCATTATACTCAGTGATCCAATGTCCAGGATCTATACCCCATCGACTTTTGCTCTTGCGCGGATCAAATCTATCCGAATAAATATTGAAAAGTTTTTTTAAAAAATTGGAAAGGACCCGGAATAGGGTATAACTTGTTTTTTAAATTTCAAGCTTCAGGTACTCAGTTTGGTTTTTGTTATTAAATTTTAAGAACCCAATTATAATATTTTGAAGTAATAGTAAATTGTTTTATTATAAATTAAAAATAATTTGAAATTCAAGAGGAAGTTATCGCAAATCATGGGAACTTCATTTTAATCTGATTGCTATATACTCATTTCTAGTATTTTCTCGAGTTTATTACGTAAGCCGCAAATCATGGCAACTGCATTTTAATCTGATTGCTATATACTCATTTCTAGTATTTTCTCGAGTTTATTACGTAAGCACGTAAAAGCTGAAATTAGCAACATTACGAATTAGCAAGTACATTACGATATTACGATATACATTTACACTGACAAATGCACTTTCCTAGTCGGTGAAAAAGCTGCTGCCATCTTCCGGGTATTGTAGAAACTAATGTTATCCGGTTGTTTAGTGTACCTAAGTATAATTTTCAGTTATAGAACTAATAGCATAGACATAAACGAATAACAAGCATTCCGGCCATGCACAATATTTATTATTTCCAACATATCACTAAACATTTTTAATGATCTAATGTCACCGAAAAACGTTGATTATTAAAAGGTGAGATAATTGTATTATTAAAAGAGATAATTGTATTTAATGCTTTTAACCAAAATCATGTAAAGAAATTTAGCAAAGAAAAGTTCATTATTAATAAACAGGTCAATAAGCTTACTCCTAGAACTGGCGTAATAAGTATAATTACCTAAGCCACGTTTCAGAATACTGTTGTCTTAATTGGCTTGCCTTCTTTAACAATGAGTTCCAAACATCTAGTATACCAGAATATTAATAAATTGTACAATTTACGTTGTATGTAACCATGCTTTTTATGTGCTATTGTACTTTCTTTTATAAAGATTTAATGTCAAATTTTACACTATTTCTGGTTTGATCTACACGATTCATAATAATTATTACTGTAAGTGTTGAAGCTCTTAAATTCAGTTGCAACCCACCAGTTTTGGTACTTCTGAATTTCCTATAAAAACCATATTTCCAGCAGGAACTCCAATGAGATGGGTTCATAAACTTCTTTCTAATGCAACTGAATTATAGCTTTAGCAGAAAACTCTATTAATGATGTAGTATTCGTTTGGAAATTGCTTAAATACATACAATGATACTAGCTACTCTCATTTTCCCGAAAAGGGACGCGAAGTGTTGAGTATATGGAGAACTAGAAGTCGCAATGCGTCCCCTTTAGGAAACAAAATATTTAAGGGAATGAGTCTCTCGTTAGGTTGTTTAAAAAAAAGTTAGATATTAAAAAAAAAAATAAATAAGTAATCCTGTTGTTCCCCATGTATAACTGTAATATGAGCTAGTTTTTTCTTAGAACGCTCTCCACAAAGACATTTTCCTGATAAAACAGATACCTTTCATGTATTTTGCTGTATTAATGAAAAACAAAAAACTTAAATAAATAAGTAACAAAAAATTTTAAAAAAAAAACAGGAAATTTTTCACTATCGCTTAGAATACCAGATGAATTTAACTTCTTTATAGTTAAATTGTACCAGCATTTTTACCGTTTATTTACAATGCTTTTCAGTATAAATTAAGAGCTTTTTTTATCCCTAAATTAGTCACAGCATTTATCAGAATCCGTATGGTATGTATATATATATATATATATATAGGATTTAAATGCATGAAAATTATTTGCTAAATATTCCATATTAGCTGTTAGCAAAGTATTTTCGCTGCGAATGAAATTGCATGGAAAATGTTCTCATTTAAAATTCTCTATACAGATATGCATTCAGATTAAACTGAAACACATATCAGAAACACAAAAAAATAATTTCACTATCAGATTATTTTTGTATTGGTCAGGATAGCTCTATATCAGATCTGAGAAAAAAACGTCATTCGAACAATCATAGTAAATTCTGTGAGATAAGTAGTACGATTACGCTGCTTTCCAAAAGTGTCATTTTACTTAATAACAGTTTACGCCGATAAAAGCTAAAATTGTGGTTAAAAAATTCACTAAATTTTAAAAAATTTTCTACAGTACACATTTGAAAGAAGTATACTGCTTGTGTTTCTTTGACTTTCTTAAATCGCAACATCAGCATACTTTCAAGAACATCTTAATATCAAAATTTCTTTGGTTCATTATATTTGAATTTGTATTCTCCGAATTATCGAATGCAGTGTTATAATAAACTTAACATAGTTCAGTAAAATTGCTTTAAAAATTTTACAAGAATACTTTTCGAATTACGAAATAAAGAGTAATAACCTTTATGAATTGCTAACTAGATAAAAAGACAGTAATTTCCGATCAGTGACATAAATGTGAAACGTTTAGAAAATTTTCACCTGTTATAAGAATAAATATCTCGATTAGGTTAACTGATTAAAGCAAAGCAACTCGAGGGCTATCTGCCTACGGAAACGGAAGCATTCGTAGAGAACTTTTCAAGGGATACTGGCTCTCATCCATATTACCCACGGAGGAAAACCATGATAATTCCCATGCAAGCCAGCCAGTTCACCGGGATTTCACCCCGGGTCAAACCACGAATGTTTAAGGACTTTACCGCTCGGTCGCTGCTGGGCCCCTTAATATCCTCGAACTGCGAATTTAAGCATTATTCTCGAATTTCGGTACATCGAAATTTACTAATATATTATACATGTATACATAATTCAGATTCTAATATCAATATTTGGAAACTATGAGCATAGAATGATTTTTCCCCACAGAATAAGACATTTTTAAAGCATATGCACGAATTTCATAGTAAAAACCTATTTTTAATATATTTCCATTGCTCAGTGGTGTCACTAGTGCTGCGTAAGAGAGTATGGCTTTATTCACTCCATCAAATAATATATTATAGTGATAATAAATATTTTATTTAGGCATCGGTTAAAGAAATTCCAGAAAACACATGACTTATTAAAGAATCAGAATAAGGAAACACTAATGGAAGCATTAAAGAATATTACTTCAAATTTGCGGGAAATATCGGTAGGGGTAAAATTGGCGTGTTCTACTTGGGTACTTTTGCAGCGTTAACTGCGAGAGCGAAACCCCTCACAGTCTGTTCGATTGCGGTTATTTTATGATACCTTCAAATTATAGCAACACATAATCTCTTGAAAATGTATTGAAATATTTTTATAAAATTCGGATTTCATATTCACACCTCTTCAAAATTTCAGGAGATGTAATGTGTCTGTTTAGTCTCCATTCTCGAAAAATAATTTATACAACAGAAGTGAAATAACTATACTTTATAAGCTGCAAATTCTACATAAATGCAACGGTTACTTTCATTTGAGCACCTTCTATTATAGTTTACTTTCCTTTACCTAGAAGCATCTAAACGTGTTCAAGAAACTTCTTAAAACTTTCCGTGTGGTTTTCAAGAATATTAGATGCAAATCTCAGACTGACAAATCTGGGGAAAATTTACTGTAAATAGAATAATATATTTGATGCATAAATATAGTCAAGACTTTAAACTGCGCAATTACGGAAACTGTATATTCTGTCTCCATAACAGTCTACAAAAGATCCAGCCCCATCTGTTTTAGAACGTTTTGTAAACAACTTATGTTATATAATTTTTAATTTTTTAATGTAACACATTTTAGTCTATCATGGCAACTGCATTCGTAAACTAGAAGAAAATTATGCTCTACAAAATCCACATTTTAATTGTCATTTAAATTTAATGTTCAAATAAAAAAGTGCTTGCATGTGTCTTTTTACAGATACACACCATTCTTATCAACCCAGAAGACTCGGCCGTAGTTGCAACCCCAGGAGTAAAAGTCGAATGCAAAACACGCCGCTTCGCTTTGGATGAACCCAGAGAATCCCTTTACAGAGCAGAAGTACTCAATCGAGCTCTGAAGAGAGAATTGGCAGAGGTACTGTACTCACGTCTTCGCAAATTGACCCTCATATCAATGGCATGTTATATGCTTATAAATTCAAAGAATGAAATATATGCAATGATGACAGTAAATTTATTTCTTTAAGCATCGTAACAATCTGGTTGATTTTTTTTTCTTTTCTGAAAGAGAAATTGTTTTTCATTTATCATATAACTATAGATTATCATACAACCGTAGATTATTATATTTTCTATTTTAATCTTTTGGCCTTTATGGCTCTGTGTTAGTAAATGAATGTGCTTTCATTTTAGTATATTTAAACTTCTTATTTAGCTTTAAATCATTGGCAGTTATTGCATGGAGTATTTTAATGGTTATAGAGTAAGTATTATGCTTTATAGTAACATTTTTATTGATTTTATTGATTTTTGATGGAACACTATTAACTTTTCGCCCCTTTTAATGCTAATTTCGTATGAGTCTTTCTAATTTTACAGTAAAAATATTTCTTTTTTCTATATTCAGCGAAAAATTCAAGAGAATAATTAATTTACTCATTAATCTGAATAGAAAGTGTAGAAACTAGTATCAGGCATTTTATTTCTAAGTAGAAGATGTCAAAAGTGTGGACTGCTCTTACCGGGATTCGAACTCCGGATCCTCCGATTATGCTTTAGCTTACACCACGAAGACACGTTGTAACGAGGAAGACTATTTTATTTGTCTCTTTTATTTTGTTTTGTTATCTGAATTTTATTCAGTTAAGCCAGCAGAAGGTACACTTTCACTGACGGCTATCTAGGTTTCTCATCTCCTTAGCCCCATCGTTAAATATTGCAAAGGCACAGCGTTGATTAAGTAAGAAAATAAATCAAATCATAGAGTTATGAATTACGATTTATGATTTTCTTCCTGCTTTAATTTCCTGTCACCAACGGTATGGCGATTAATGAAGTACTAATCCCTATACCGTTGGGTTAAGATTCGAATTCCAAGTAAGCCCAAATGTTCGAAACTATAGTTGACTTCTGCAATATTGAGTCTGTCAACATGAACGTTTTTTCGAGTTAGTTGTAATCAAAGTGAGATGCGAGATATCATCTTTCGGAGCAGTTTATATCAAAAATGGGAGAGAAATTCAGGAGATAGCTCTCATATGTTTCCCTAAATTTAATAATCCATTTCAATCCCAGCTTAGTTTTCAAATTGTATATTTCTCTGAAGTATTTATGGATTGCAAGTATATCAATCAACATAAATAATAGTTTAAAAAATCTGACATTATGCTACACTCTATATTTTCAGGATTTTCTTTTAAAATGCTGTTTACTATGAATACTTATCAGATATCCAGTCTTAAGTAGTATACATTATCCATCTTTTTATCTTATTTGTGAAGATATAGTAAAGAACAGAAATTATTACAATATTTCTTGTCATATATCCAGGGTATTAAATGAGGTGTTAATAAAAAATGTTCTGCTCAAATTATTATGGACGAAATTTACTTTCCTCCTCATGAAAACGAATAAACTTCTATAAAAAACTAATATGCATTTATTATTAGTAAAGTGAATTAGGATGCTAAAAAATGAAATTCTTTATTTTAGCATAAAATGTAATATTTAATTCGCAACTTATTTAGATTATAATATTTGAAATACCTGTTAGATAAAAAAGTAGCGAATTAAAAAAAAGTAATGTTAAAAAGTTTAGTAATGTCAAAAATTTAATTACAATAAAAAATTTAAAGAATAATTTCCATAACAAATGCTTTAAAAATAACATACATTAAAAATGTTCTTTCCATTTACTATTTCCACAAAATAGTTACTAATACTAAACCTGTCATAATCATCCCTATTGCTCATTGATGTACTTCATTCAGTTTTAACAAAACTCATATCGAGTATAGGCTTTTGAAAATTTTCAACAGAATAAATTTAGCAACCATTTCCTATAATCATTAATAATTTTATGCTTTTGAATGACTGTTCTAACTTGTAGTTTTAAAATTAAAATTTTCAACGACTACTTACACCCCCTTTTTTTTCTAGTCTCAATTTTAAACATTCCTTTCAAAACATGGAATTGTGAAATGCGAATTGGAAACAATATGATAGGCATGTCACCAAACGAAAAAGAAAAGTTCCTTCACTTCTTTTTCTAAATACTGACATCTCGAAAATGAAATGCTGTTGTCAAAATTTTGATTGACATCCCATGTATATTCGAATGAGCAGTTGAACGTCCAGATGCCTTCGAAAGCTCCTTAAAGAAAGTACTTCGTATCTATCGGATAGAAAATTGATAAGATTAGATTAAAATTCTGAAGTCTTTCGAAAGAATAAGTAAGCCAACAATTTTCCTACTCTGGAAATATCAGTCTATCCCTTATAGATAGATAGCACATGAACCTATAATTTCATTATTAAGAAGTGTATATTTAATCTTCAGATTCCAGTTAAATAAAACTCAGTTTATATTTCTGTATTCTTACAAAAGTCGTTTCTCCGTACTTTTTATGTCTCACTGGTAAGCGAATTTGAATTAATGGCAAAGAGATACATTTGACAGAATCTTTTAATATGTATTAGTGTACTTTGCACAGTTGGGCTTTAAAAAGTCATTAGGTTTTTATTTAAAATAGGTTATAAGGTATTTCTCTCGCCTTCTTAGCGTGCCTTCGTGATGTAGTGGTCTGCATGCTGGGCTCGTATTCCAGAGGTCCGTGGTTCGATTCTCGGCAAAAGCATTGCTAATTTTTAATCTCTCCTGCTTTCCAAAAAATCTTAAATGTCTCTACAGTGACGCCCGAACTGAAAGGGTTGTGGATGATGATTCTCCACACCCAGGATTTGGCGACTGGGTCCCCTAAACCCTCAGTCGCCCTTTAAAAGGGGGAGTGTATAAGATATTTCTCCCACCTTCATAGTGTAGTGGTCTGCATGCTGAGCGCGTATTCCAGAGGTCCGTGGTTCGATTCCCGTCGAAGGCGTTGCTCATTTTTCATCTCTCCTGCTTTCCAAAAAATCCTAATGTCTCTACAAGTCATTAGGTTTTTATTTGAAATAATAGACATGAAAAATTTGCAGTGTCCTCGCCGGGACTCGAACCCTGGACGGGAACGCCTAATGTGCTACCGTTACACCATGAGGCTATGTTGGAAGGAGGGAGAAAAATACCTTATAGTTGTTTTACCTTCTTCGTCTTGTACATTTTAAAAAGCATCATTCTGTGCCTTAACCAAGCTAGAATGTGAGAAGCTTCTATGAAGACCAGATCTGTCATTTTCCTACCGAACAAGACTGCCTATCAAGAGCCACAGAGAAAGGATTTGATATTTGTAGCAGTTCCCAGTGAAATTATGTGAAAGTTAAAGTACAGATGACCAGATTTATAGAATTAAATTGCGTGTTGTGAAGTTTATCATACACAACTCACGCGACTTCAGAATAAGGAACAGATTAAAGACAAAGCTTTCATTTAAACGATTATGATAAAGCATGAGAGACTATCTGCACAAAGAAGAGATATATTGGCAGAGGACTTTCTATGGGACACTTGTTCGTATTTACTTAAACATAATGAAAGTCACGAAAGCCTTATTCAGCCAGTTCGTTGACTAAATTTCTAGCACTGGTCAAATTATCAGCGTTCAGCCATCCTAACCATTCTCTGGAAAACGTTCTCCGTGATTCTATAATTACTGACATTTAAATCGAGAACATACCCTTCAAGATCCAAATAATAGAATTTGTAACATGTAAGACCTTTTTACAAGACATGTTTCAAATATGTGTCAATTATATATACATAGGTTGGAGTATGGTCCTGTTTTCTAAATAGAGCTTTTAAGGATATAAAGTTCATGAAAGAATGGTTAAGTCACAGAATAAGTAGATAAGGAAAACGTAAGACTCAATTACATCAGCAAAATCAGTTTTGCATATTATCTTATTATAAAATTGGGCACGTTACTTCCATAAATTTGGGGAACATTATAGATAAGAAAAGAATAAAACACAAGAGATCATGTTTGTTACTTATAAACACTCTTATAAAGTACATCTTATAAAGATGTACGTGTATTCCTTTTAAGTTATACTTTTACGAGTCTGGCTGTGACAATAAGTCATGAACTTTGCCAGTTTTCTTTATGAACTTAATTAACTGTGGTATATATACTCATAAAGAAAATGTAGTTCAGTTATTAGAAACAATTAGAAATTCAAGTTTCGGATTGATTAGCTTTACGTAAATAGCGCTTAACTGCATCCGAATCAATGTAATAAGTTCATTAGTTACATCATATAATTTTCAGTGTTGTTGGTGTATGATTCCATCTCTTAATTTGAAAATTTAATAAAATGAACATTGATCTATATTTACAGTTAGACGAAGAATATAATAGAGTAGCAGCGAAAGTTGGGCTTACTCCATGCGCTGTTCGGAAACCTGAACCCAGTGATGAAAATCAGGTAATATTTCAACAGTTTTATTTTGCTTTGAAAGAGCGTAAATTAATCTTTCTTAAAAACGAGCTTGATAATGTAAAAACAATGTTGTGGTAGAAAAGTTTTAAATTGTAATAAAACAAATATATTCCTACTTTTTTATATGCAGCAGTAATTTGTATCAAAATGATTTAGCATTATGTTACTAAAACAGTTGTAAGGCAATATTAATATAAATAGAAAATTTATATTTATATATACGCTTCTTTATAATTACATTTAGTTCAATAACAGCTGTTTTTACAGTCGCATTTGGGAGGTTGTAGAGTTGCTATTAATCTGGAAACTAGTCAATGTCCTGCAGACCCTACTAGACAGGTTAGCGAGATATTTCAACGTCTTTTATTCACAAATACAGAAAAAGATTTTAAATAGTATTTTACTTTAATCTAATATAAAGGGAAGGCACAACTTGTGCTACAAGCGAAAAATCACCACTAGTGGCTAAATTAAATTAAGCAATAGCAGACAGTTTGAAGCTGTTGACGTAGTCTAAAGCTGCTAATGGAGCAAGCTATAAGCTGGCTCAGTTATTCTACAGGCGGGTAAGTATCGGCTAGAAAGAGAATAGCAAAGACGGAATATAGAGCTGGCGAGAAATTCTAACAGGGTGACGTAATCTCTCTCTCTCTCTCTCTCTCTCTCTCTAGGATTCGAAACTCTTAGCTTAATTCTCTTAAAGCTAATTTACATTCTGGTGGAAAACACGGAAAGAAGAAAACAATAGAAAAGTATAAATCATAATAACTGGTTATTTAGCATAAAGTAAGTTACAAGGTAAATATAGAAATTTTCCATTCTTCCAAATTATGCCTTTGAAGAAACGTCACGTGCGAGCTGTAAATTCCTCGTACATATTCTGTAAGAAAAAGAACTTTCAGTTACAAAATAATCCTTATCCCAAAGAAGAAAAAATAATAATGTGAAATTTCCATTAGAAGGAAAATTTAGATAAACTCTGGCCTAAAGCAAAGAAAATAAAGATGTAAGCAGAATATTATAATTTATAGAAATAACTCCAAAATATCCCTGCTTTTCAAAAATATCTGTTAAGTTTTGAAGAAATATGAAGGGGGAAAGAACAAATTTAATATGCTATAATTAATTTTGTAATTAATGCTTTGAAGATTCATTCGTGAAAAGAAATTCCATGTTTGTCTATAAGTATTAACTGCTTTATTTTAAAAGAAACGTTCTTTAGGGAGAAATAAAGGACCATATTTCTTTAATTTTAAAGCAAATATTTCCCGCATATAAATGCTTCTAAAAGCAATGCGTGCCTTAGATCAACGAAGCCTTAAAACTACCGAGCTTTTACCTGTACTTTCACATGCGGCACCCAAAAGTTTTCGATTACATAAGTCAGAGTTAGAATTTGATCGAAGTGGCATTCTTCAGTTCGTAGCGATTTTTTTAGATTTGAATAACATCTCTACTCACCCAAAATTAAAACGATCCAGTAAAATCAAACTCTGAATGTAAACTGAATTTTAATATTGACTGAGGGGCAAATATAGACCCAAACAAGTATGATATTCATCTAGAAGAAAGGAATAAATGATATATATTGGCAAATATAAATTATTGCTATTATTAAATTAAAGTTTAATGTAATACAAATACCTGTTAGGCATTTTAACTCTAAAAGGAAATCAAAGATTGTTTTTCTATTTTTGATGTTGAAATTTTTCTGTTTGTGATGCTGCTTGAAGTGCTTCATATGAGAGTGAAAAAAAACCACTAAAACTATATACAAATTAGAGAAAATGCACATTTTATATGGATTATGTAAAAAAGGTATTATAAATCTACTTAATGCTGTACTCCCACAACGGCAAGATTAAATTTGAAAGATATTCCTTTAATTAACAGAAAAATAATAACTTTTCAGTTCCATTTCTTTCTTCTTAATAAGCAACAAGAATGAGTACTCATGGGCGATTTAATAATAAAATTTTAGCTCACAAACGATGTGTTTTCAACACTCCTTTATATCTCAAAAGGAAACTGCAAATAATGACATCTAAGGCAAGTTCTGTTAACGTTGGTCTTTGCCTTAAATTCGTATGTAAATGCATCCAAAGGAAGCACTTTCTGATATTGTTTATTTTCCAGTATCACTGGGTGATACTGGAAAATAAACAATATCAGAAAATTAAACTTCCTTTCGATTATTAAACTTCCTTTCGATTAACAATTTGAGGTAAGAGATAATATGAGTAAAGAAAATTGAATGATACGAGAAACGTAAATTTTTCCATTATTTCTCATTATTTACACATTTAAACGCCAGTGGTCGAAATTAAGATAACGGATATAAACTGCGTTGTAATCTCAAAGAAACTTCATGAAATTGGTACACAATTATTTCCTGTCATAAGGCATAAATGTAACAATACAAAATAAAGATGGAAACGTAACTTTCTTTGCTATGCAAATTTCTGAAAAAGATATATAATGCATGGTAGTCTCCCAGAAAGAGAGGCTAAAAAAGCGAATGCCCAAACCAGACAACCGTGCGCCACCATACCGCCATAATTGGAGTTTAAAGGCTATTGAAAAAAATGTAGCAATACACCCCCTTCCTCTGCTGCATCGGATTTTAAGCAATGATGTGTCCTTAAAAGGACTGGTGTGCCCCAGTGCAGTACCTAGACTACGCTAAATACACTCTTAGATAGACAAAAAAAAAAAAAAAAAAAAAAAAAAAAAAGGACGCACCCCGATGCACCGAGAAGATATAAAGCAAATTGGACACAAACTGATATGCGTACAGGTTTCGACGGAAAATGCAAAATTTTACATTTTGGCTGCCAATGAATGAACGGTTGTCGCTACAGCGCATCTGATCTGCGCAACTGGCAGGATATTTAAGAGGAGAAATTACGATTCCAGGTCATAAATTCTTCACGAAATTTCATTCCGTGTACTAATTTCATTGTTACTGGTAGACAGTAACCTATGCCTCGCATACTGGTGCGCGAGAACGATATGTGCAGATGTCAGGAATTTGAGAGAGGTCGTGTAGTTGGGTTCAAAGAAGACCGGTTGGTCTTATCGGCGAAATAGCTCGACATTTGAGCAGGAGCGATGCCCACTATTAGACGATGATGGCAGAATTGGTGAACCATGGCCAGACACAGCGTCAAGAAGAAAGCGATAGGCCTAGAGAAACGACAGAACATGAAGATCAAGCAATCGTCAGAGCGACACTCACAGCCCCAGATGAATCATTATCATCGATTGTACATGCAACTAGTGCTTCAGTGACCGTAAGGACCATTCATAGACGGCTTACAGAAAGGGGGTTGAGGTCACGGCACCCCTTGCGCCAACTACCATTGACCTCTGTACAACGTCAAGCCCGTTTTCAGTGGTGTCGGGCTCATTCGCACTGGAATGTCACTGACTGGAGTAGAATAGTTCAATGATGAGTCCCGCTTTGAACTGAGTCCCGATGACCAGCGAAGGCGAGTCTGGAGACGCTCCGGACAGCGGTGTGATACCGACAACCTGACTGTCTTCCGGCAGACAGGCCGACAACCAGGAGTGATGGTCTGGGGTGCAATCAAGATAACGCCCGCCTCCACACTGCACATGTTTCTACGTCTTGCCATAGTGCTTTCCGAACCTTACCTTGGCCAGCAAGGTCGCAGGATCTCTCTCCTATTGAGCACGTTTGGAGCATCATGGGCAGGGCCCTCCAACCAGCTCGGGATGTTGACGATCTAACGCGACAGAATTTGGCACGATATTCCTCGGGAATTCTGTAATATGTGCATCACTTCTACCGATTTTCATGCCATTCGGCGGATAACTCCTTCTTGGTGCGTCGATTTTTTTTTTTTTTTTTTTTTTTTTTTTTTTTTTTTGGTCTAAGAGTGTACTTTTTATAAGACTGGGGTCAGAGCAGCTAGCTGGCTACTCCATTCTGCGAATAATCTCCGGTTTAAAAGAAAATCTTGAATAAGATCAGTTGGGAATTCTATAGAATCTAAGCCCACTAAAATTAACAGAATATCCCGAAGGAAGTCTTATATTAAGTGCAAATTCTTGTACTGTGGAGTTACAATTCCTCCATCGAATATCTGCAGCCACGAAAGGCCGTCTATCACGATACCACTCTGCATAAAAACGCCTGTTGACTCCAGCAATTGCATTTTCTTATGTTGGAGCAATGGAAGTTTATACTGAGATACCCTTAGATGAAAAGACGTTTAGAATCAGTTTTTACACTGTATCTCGGTTTATTAAAGGTAAAAAAAAGACCCACTGTTGTTCCGTCCAAAGCAGTGGGTTCTCGTTTTGACTGATATTTCTGTACATCGAACCTTAATTTGATTATCTAGCAATATCGCAACCTTAATTTGATTATCTAGCAATAACGTTAGTTTCCTAACGGGGTTTTTATAACATCATTAGTATAGTTTCTATAAACCAGGACTCTCCACAGAAGAAAGGAAGGTAGAAGGAAATTTTAAAATGTTTTTCTGTAGAAGAGAATAATTGATTGCCGCAATGGGTTAGGTTAGGTTATAATTACGTCAAAGCCTCAAGGGCTATCTGCCTAAGGGGAGGGGTGCCTTCGTGGAGGACTCTATAAGGGAAACTGGCTCGTATACACGTTAAACATGGGGAAAACTACGAAAATACCCATGCTGCCAGCCCGTTCTCGGGATTCGAACTTCGGACCGAACTACCAGTGTTCAGCGTCTTTACCGCTCGGCCGCTGGTGGGCCGATTGCCGCAGTAACATTGGCTTGTAATGAATGTTGTTAACATCCTTTTTCTGGGATATCTATTGCCCAATATTCTGGGTATTTTTTTTAATATCACAGGTTTCATTCTTCTACTTTTTTCATTTTGTACCATAATATTGATTCCCTGGGGCATGAAGTATCTACCAACTTTCTACATTCAAATGCATCAAAACGTTTTTCGGTATTATATAACTTTATGTTTATTACTATGATTTGGTCACTAGTGCATTGTGAAGTTGAAACGTTCGGATAGTTAATTATTTATTAACTTTATCAGATGTTCTTAATTTGTCTTAGTATCTAATTTTTGTTTTCTTTTATGGGGTTTTCCATAAATACAATCGCAAACAAGTAATCTCTAAAGTTTACTTAAATGCAGATCAATAATGTGTAAGTTTAATTTTCTCAGTTTTAACATTGAATGTTTTTCTGATCGGACTACAATATCATTTTATATTCTCGTCCGAAAAATAGTAGTCACAGTTCATATAGTAGTCACAGTTAAATTTATACAAATTGATATAAAGTTAAATAAAACATAATCTTTACCTAATGAACACCCTTTATGAAATGCTGCTAAAATTAAGTACTGGATAAAGAAATGAGAACAAAAGTTTTTAAAAATATTTTGATGACCCTATAGATCTATCATCATCGAAATAACTTTCTTTAAGCGTTGTCCTTTATTTATAACACCCAAAACTTAAAAGGATGCAAAACAAAGCAAAAAATCAGTATAGTTATTATAGATGGAATAGATTGGAATTATTATAGAATTGGAATTTATTACAGATGGAATAGATATTATACATGGAAATAGCAAATGATAAGATAAATATAACCAGCTTAATCAAATATGAGACAAAATTATTAGAAAAACGTTTGTTACACGAAAATAACGGCTGCCGTAACTGATCGAATAAGAATCAGAATCCAGTTTAGTATGGCTGGTTAGTTGTTCCCATTAAACTTTTATTATGTAAGATTTTGAAAATTTAACGGTTCGTAAATTTTTCATGGAAACTGCTTATTTATTGATATATTTTAACAGTATCATTTTCATAAAATGAAGCATAATTCTCCATAGGAAGAAGATAGTGATGATGGTCTTCCACCTTGGATCTCAGAATACAAAGATTACTCTTCAACAGGAAGTGACGATATATGGTATACAGGGAAATCAACAATAGCTTCAGCTTTCACTGCGATCCATCATGTAGCGCTTCAGTTACCATCAACATCCGCTAGCATTCAAAGAGAAGGAAGTCCAGTAAGTATGAGATTTTGATCCAGTGGAAGAAACGACGCACGAAGTTTCAGAATTTTTTTTTTTTTTTTTTTATTTTACTCTATATAGTCTCTTAAGCTTAGCAAAATTTGCATGCTTTACATGCTGTATAGTTATTTTGGTTTTATTTGCTATTAATCAGCACTCTAATATGAGCTTCAGTTATGTAATAAATTGTTGTTTTAAATTGTCATTAATTACTTTAATATATACTCAGTGGAAATCAGGGTGCATCTTCTTCGGGGGGCAAATTCTTATAAGATTGAATTTTGTGACTATTAAAGTTACTAGTTCGTCTTACCTACAATGATTTGTAATGAGACTTTTGTGTTTAATTTTAGAAAGATTTTGTTTAAAAGATATTTAGTAATTTTTCTTACTAAACATCAAGTTGTTTGTTGTTGTTTTTTAACAATTTGTTTCGTTACTAAATATATTTTAAACATATTTCAAACAATACTAAAGAAACAAAAGTATGTTTGTTCGTTTATTATTGTTTAAAACATGCTTAGTAAATGCTTGATTATAGCACAAGACATCGTGATGATTGTTGTGTTTATCATTGTTTTGCCAACTTATCTAAGATTATGTTTCAAATAAAGTCACAAAACTCGATGATATAAATGTTTCGTAGTATATCTATCTTTCGAATTTAATCAGCAAAAACTGAACGATTTAAAGACTGGTGTTGCTACTGTCCGAATGAAAATACTTCTATCTTCGATATGGCAGTATTTTGTCGTTCAGCAAAGCATAAGATATTTAATTTTTCTTTTAAATTTATTCTGTTTTTAAATTGCAAACTAAGAGATTTAAAAGCATTAAAAACATGTTCATTTCAGTTATTATTGGTTACTAACTGGACTCTAGAAATTCATTAAAACCAACTGTTAAAATATAAACAGGAGTGTCCATTTGTTTTTTTTTTCCTGGGAGAGTAATTAATACAAATCTACAGTTTCCTTCCGATCTTGTTGAAATTTTGCACACTTTACTTTCAAAGCAAAAGAAAAGTGACTATCTACATAAGAATCAAAAAGTCATTCCACAGCCCACACTCAGGGCGTTCATATTAGACCTCTGCGTTCACGTAACTCATCTTAGGTTCCCGTCGCTGTCGTTGCATTCCTCCTATCAGTGGACGTCATACGTATTACGCAAAGAATTTATAATTGTAGTTTTATAAAAACAGATAAATATTAACGTTTCTACACAGTTTCAATTTTGAACTCGAACCGCCATTGCTGCGTTCTCGCTATTAGTTTTTATTAAAACCGTTAGGCGACACCATGTTTGTCTACATCTTAGAACAGTGTAGAATAGCGATTCTCAACATTTTGACTAACGTGTACTATCTAAACAAAAATTGAAAAACTTTAGCACCACTACTACATTTTACAATGGTTATTTTTCAATTTCTCAATAGAAATATTATATATATATACATATATATATATTGTCATTTTGCACAACCTATTGGCTATTTGTATTAACTATGCACACATACAAAATATTAGATAAAAGTTGGTTAGTATTTTAATTATCAAAATTTAAGTTATAATAATTTAATTTTAAATTAAGTGCGAAATTTGAGCCTGTTTAAGAGAGATCAATTTCTTTATCCCTGATCTTATTTCACTTAGTTTTAATCATAAATTAGGATAATTTTAATTTTGTTCTATATTTATTTTTCAGATATAACATGGAAAAAAATCCTTGTTAACACAAATAAGTTTGCAAAATGACAATAAAAGTTTAATAGCTTTATCTGAAACACCATTAAATTCCTTTTTTTCGATTCAGCCAAAAGTTAACAAGTGTGTTATTATAAAAATCTTCAGTTAGAGTTTGATCATGGGAAATTTCTATCAATTGGCTCTTTTTCTTCACAAGATAAAATTTGAGGCACATGTGAACAAAATGGATTTCTAATCCAGTTTTCTTTTACACAATCCTCGAAAAAACACACGTTGAAATTATTTATCAATAAAAAAATAATGATTTTTAATATTGGATGCTAATTCTTCTCTCATTTCCAATAACCAACTATTTGATTATTAGCTCGAGTTTTATTATCATTGCATTTATTTTATCTTTAATGGTAAACAAATTAACACTTCGTCCTTTTAATATTAAAGTTTAATTCATTTAACTTTCCAGAAATATCAGCTAAATAAGCTAAACGCGCCAACCATAATTCACTAAATACGCATTTTTGCAATTCAAATTTTGAGTCACATAAACACTAAAGTACAGCCCTGGAAGGATCAAGGAAGGATCTGCCTTAATCTCTGGAACGATGAAGTCCTCCCTTTCAAGGTTTCAGAACTGCAACTTCAGGACCAATCCGAGAGGGCGCCACCCCTCCCGGTCGCTGCAGAGGGGAAACTTCTCTCGACAATTTAATTCATCGGAGAAGAGACCGACAGGCGACCATCACGAAGAGCTATTACTACATAACTCCGACTACTCCAGCACACGTTAGACTCAACGCTTCAAAGAAAAATTCCCACGAGCGAGGCGTCATAACCATCTTTGGTTTTGCGCCAAAAACCTCACTCACCCACGAGCGGGGCACCACCCCCTCTCGCGGTACTGCAACAAGGCACATTATTTAAATCTCAAGATCATACGTCCCTCCACACCGACCCAGAGGAGCCAATCCCTCTCAGACGGTCAACAACATCCACCATGTAACGTCCCCACCACCAAAGACACGGACAAGTCAGTACTAGTACGGTCCCTACCAAGCCTCAACCTACCATCGAATAAACGATGGTTCTACACTGGTGTGCAAAAATTAAGGACGAGACGGTTTTTTCAATATAACTTTGTACAAAAGCTTTCCAAATCAACACATTTAATACCGTAAGATCCCCAATACGTAAGGTCATGAGTAATGTAAGCAACACTTACTAAAAGAGAAATCAGAGGGATAAAAAGAAGCTTTATTGAAAAAGTAGCATGGAGCGCAATGCGACTGAAGGCCGAAACATCCCTGTGATGGGTGTCCAGCAAGAAACATCCGGTCTTTAATAGGGGATATGATCTCCCCTGACTGCTAGGCAGGTTTCACAGCGTCTGCCCATGCTGAGAATGAAGGTGTCAATGAGTGGTTGAGGCAATGCTGTCCATTCGTCTTGCAGCGCCAATCGAAGCTCCGGAATCGTTACTGGTGGTAAGGTACGAGCTGCCAAGCGTCTGCCTAGAAAATCCCATACATGCTCGATGGGATTGAGATCCGGAGATCGTGCCGGCCAATCCACACGTTCAATATCCTCACTCTCTATGAGCTGTTCGGCAGCTACTGTGCGATGACATGGTGCATTGTCGTCCATGAAAAGGAACTGCGGACCCATAGCGCCTCTAAAAAGACGCACATATGGAAGAAGAATCTCGTTACAATAACGGGTCCCGTTGACTGAACCTGCGTCGAAGATGTGAAGGTCTGTACGACTACCAAGCATGATGCCTCCCCAAACGAGAACACCGCCACCTCCATACCTGTCCCTTTCAATGATTTTCGAGGGATGTTTGCGGCTTCCCCGCTCTCTCCAGATGAGTATGCGATGAGAATCGCTACTCAGACTGAATCTGCTCTAATCTGTAAAGAGTACTCGTCCCCAATCATTGTCTCTCCAATTCCGGTGTTCCCGGCACCACAGAGAACGCTTTCTCCGATGGGCAGGCGTTAGAGGTACACACCGTACAGGGCGTCGTGCAAACAGACCACCACCGTGCAGTCTTCTGGCCACGGTAAAACGCGATATCGGTCGTCCAGTCGCCTGTGTCGTGTGTCTAGCGTTTTATCTCGCTGTCTGCCGCCTGTTTCTTCTAGCCTGTAAGGCAATATACCGGTCATCTGCGGGTGTGGTTCCTCGTGGACGACCACTACTAAACCCCCGGATAGCTGTTCCTGTAGTTTGAAATTGTCTTCAAAGTCGTGAAACGATGCTGTGAGCAATTCCGAACTCTGCAGCCACACTTGTCACACTGCGGCCTTCCTCCAACTTCCCAATGATGCTACCTCAGGTAAAAGCATCCAGATGTCGTCTAACAGATTGATTATTCGCCATTTCTCGCTGAGGCAGCAACTCGGTGTGATTTTAACTGCTATACGGCGTGCAATCTCTTTGCCAGAAATACTGATCTTACTCCGACAACATGCTTTATACTACTCAGACACTCCCCCTTTACGTCTACCTGCATATCTGCGCATGTGCTACCGTACATCACCTTACTTAATCTCCTGGTTGGTCTTTCTGTCCGCTCTGCCTCTTCGTTTAGCTGATATGCTAATTTTTCGACTTCGTCCTTAATTTTTGCACACTAGTGTAATCTAAGTGAAAACTGATTATTTGCTCTGCAGGCTGAAGCTTTCTAGACACAAGTCTAGCCAGTGATCTGGAAGAACCCGGGTTTCCTCCCATAAATGGTCGGTTCCAGCAATTCCGCCCAGTTGGACTACAGAGTTAGTTATCCAGTATCATTAGCCTAAGCCAGTCGGCGAGCGCCACGAGGAGGCCTCGCTGAACTGAGAGATACGTGACAAACCACCTCCCTCGGCACCCGCTTCCATAGATCAAACCCCGGCTCTCCTACCGCCAGCGGTCGGTTCCGGAGATTTGTCCTCGGTTACGGGCGCCGCCCTCTATTTTGAGTCACAGAAGAAAATTTGAATAACTCATCGAAGTTCAAAGAGACGATTTAACAATTTCCCTCTGGATAACTACCTTATTTCGGAATGTATCAAAAGAGTTTCATGTTCAAAGCCGATCTCTTGGCATAAAATAGTAAATATCCTTGAATTTAAAGCTCAGCTTTAAAAAAAAAAAAAAAATAACAATTTTCGCACCTTGATTCAAAACAATTTTCAGGTTTTCGGGGATTGTTTTTATTACTAAAGCTGCGAATTTCTTTATTTGAGAAGAAACACCGGAATGTTTTCCTATTAAAGCTCAAGCTCCGTCACTGCATACGGCAATGCACTAATTCAAAGAACATATTTCTTAGACATAAAATATTCAATTACTTGGAAAATTTTATTTGCAGTTGCTCTATCATGGAAAGATTTACAAAATAAATATTCTTCAGCAATTCGTTTATCTTCTTCGAAACGTATGTAACCTAATAATTGAACTAATAAACTAATAGTTGAACTAACGTATGTAAACTAATAAAGTTCGTTATATGAGTACTTTCATCCAATTGCACTGCGAAATACTCACTGTGTTTTATTTTTGTTGAGAATCGCTGGTGTGGAACGTTCTAAAATAGCGTTAAACTTTTGAAGCAGAATTTAAGTACGCTG